GTCGAGGGAGAGGTAGGTGAAGACTCAGGTGGTGTCGGTTCACCAGCGGGTTCGGCTTGTACCTCTGCTCTTGCGGGTCCTGTAGCGTCTTCGATCATCGGCTCGGTGTTGTCAGGGTTCTCTGGCGGCTCAGCCGGCATGAGGGCCTGTGGCTCGTAATCCTGAATGTTCGGGCGGCTCTCGGAGGTGAGGTCCTCGAAGGTGCCGCGGCGCGCCACCTCCATCAGGTCAGAAATGGTAGCTCCTCGCCTTTCCAGGTTGTTCAGCTCGACGGCCATGCGTTCCGCCTCCGTAGCAGGTCCATGCTGTTTTGGTGCGCATCGTAGGAGAACGTCGCCGTGGGAGATCCAGATGACTGAGGTGGGCCGCGACGAACCTGCCAGGAGACGTTGCTCCTGTACCAGCACCCAGGCCGGGCTGTACCATGTGGCCTTCACGGGTCCGCGCCCCTTCCGCCAGTAGCAGCAGTGCTCGCCGGTGTTCCAGCGAGTAGTGATGCGGCTGCGTGCATGTTCTGCGTGTCGACACCGTACGGAGTACTCCACTTCGATGAAGCTCTGCCGTGCCTGAAGGCGTCGTTGCTCACTGCTCTCTCCGCTCCCGTCGTCGATGATAGCGAAGTGGTTGCCCGCAGCTTGGGCGCCTCCGATTCCGAAGGCGTGCACGAACGGGGAGTGGTTCCCTACCTTGTCAAGGTCGTTGATGGCGTGAACCACCTGGCTGATGGCCTCGTCCATGTCACAGTCGCGGTTATGCTTCCTAAGCTTGGTGAGCGTGCGCTTGAAGAGCTGAATACGCCGCTCCACCTTGCCCATGGGCCAGTGAGCTTCTCCAGGCGCAATGAGCATCTCAATGCCGCGGGAGCTGCGCCAGCTCTTGGCAAGCTCTGCTGGGTGACGCCCTTCAGCATCATAACGAATCAGACGAGGAGCCCGATAGTGGTTGGTCCACGATCTCCAAGTATCCAGCAGATCTGCGGCTGAGCGATTCCCAGACCGCTGAGACTTATCGCCATGGTTGGTGACCTGGGTTAATCTTGACCCCTCGTCGAGGTTGAGCGTCAGGAGGTAGATCGCGTCGTCCGTTGGGTCGGTCCATTCCAGACCGTCGCTGCCCATCACCTCGAAGACCTCAGGAATCTCGATGCCGGCGGCGGTCCGGACAGCTTTCGGCAGGACGGGCGAATTGCAGGCATGACATGGGAAATTCTTCGCAATCTTCAGCAATTGGAGGCTGGTCCCTGAGTTCTTCAGGGTCTGGAACATCGTGCGAGCACTGGGGTGACCCAGGTTCCGATGTAGTCTGAGACGATGCTCGATCTCCTGCTCCTCCTTTGTGGACAACTGGCCCTCGTCCTTAGTGAGCCCCTTGAAGTCGTCCTCCTCGAAACCATCGTCGGACCCGGGTGGGTCCTCCATATCCTGGTCCTCGTCTTCTGCGGTGCTCTCGTAAATCAGCTCGGTATCGCCCTGGTCCGCGGCTAGCAGAGTCGCCGAACCTGCAGCTGCGCCGCCTCCTACTCGGAGGATGCGCTTTGCCCAGGCCTTGCACATCGGGGTCAGTCCAAGCAGATCCGGCAGACTTTGTGAAGCAGCAGTCCACTGCGAGGGCATCGAAGACCGTGCGCACATCCCGAGACCAGCGTCTCGTAGGTCTGCTCCCGAATCCGCTGGAGGGCAGATGAACGGGACCAGCTCTGGGATCGTTGAGGCTGCTCAAGGTCGACCTCGGTCCCAGGGTCCTGGAGGCCAATCGAGAGGAGGGTCTTACAACCTGCCTGAATCCGGCGAGCCTGCTGGATCTTCCTGCGAAGGCGTTTCCGATCCGCTTCGGTCTTCTGGTTCCAGTTCTGCAGTTGGTAGTCGGCCGTGCACGGAGGGCTCATGACGATCCTGCGAGGTCGGTGCTGCCGTATCCAGTGAGCCAGTCGTCGAACTCCTGTTTTGGTGCCCATGTCGAAGCCGTTGTGGACGCCTGCGCGAAAGGCGCGGCCGCCCAGGTCGATCACCGCCTGGGCCAGTCGGGACGTCGGCGGCGTGCAGACTTCCAGCGGGTCGTACCGCCCGTGACGGACCAGCAGGTTGACGTCGTCCCCGATCTCCTTCTTGTAGTCCAGGGCGTATTGGTCGATAGCTTGCTGGAAAGTGTCCAGGTCGTGGCTGTTCAGAGCTCCTCTCGGCCTCGCTTGGAGGCTGCCTCGGGTGTCGCAGAGTCGTCCAGCATCTTGAAGGACTCCGACGAGGGGTCGTCCGCCAGCTTCTTCATGATCTTGATCAGCATGCGCCTCCAGCGCATGTAGATCACCTCGGGCCTGCAAAGCGAGCTGACCTCGGGGCTCGCTGGCCTTGGAGGGCTTGCCATCCGTGGCTTCGCTTCTCCTTCCTGTGCCAGCTGCTTCTTCCGAATCGGCGGGCGGTAGTTCTGCGCGAAGTTCAGCGAGGGCTTGCCCGCGATCCTCACTAGACACGGGTGGGTCTCGCCGCCCGTGCACGAGCAACTGTTCCGCTTGCGACCTGGTTGACCGCGGCATCCGCACCTCGTGCAGTGTAGCCGTGGGGTTGGCCCTGGCAGCATTCGGAATCACATCCTCTGGAGGTGCAGAAGCGAACTCGTTTTGCATGGCCCTTGCCTCGCACTGGATCTGAGAAGAACTGGCTGTCGGAGATGACTGCAACTTCGCATGGAATGGAGTCGTCTGGCGACCAGCTGGACGCCCCTGTGCTGGCGAAGGCGGCGGTGGCACAGCCGAAGGCGACGATCCCGTGCCACGGCGGCATGCCATCCGCTGGATATGGATAGTTATGGTGAGTTCCTGACTGTTCGTCTCTTCGAGCCGAAGGTGCTCGGTGCGCGACGAAGTCGTCCGGATCGGCGAGTGACTCTGGAGGGCGTTTCGTCAGTTTCGATGCCAGATTCGATCGATTTCGCGAAGTCGACGGGGATTCCGAAATTGTTGAAAGAGCGCGTTCTGCGGTCGCTTGGGGGGGGGGGGCGTTTGAAACCGGACCCCTTCCCCCCCTGGATGGAGGGGGGGGGGATTTGAACTCCCCCTCCCCCTCCCGTGACGGGGGGGGGTTCGATTCCTTTCCCCCCCCTCCCTCCTCTGCTTCCCCTCTCCTCGGGCCGGCGCTTGTGTCGGCCGCGGCTGGTGGCGACGGCGGCGCGGACGACGATTTCCATTTCTGGGCTGGCGCCGGCGCCTGCGGCGGCGGGCGGCGGTGGCGAGGAGCGTCACGGTGGTGGTGGTGGTTTGTTGTCGTGGAGGTGGTGGTGGCGGTGGTGGCGGTGGTGGTGGTTGTGGTGGTGGTGGTGTGGTGGTTTGTTGTGGTGGTGGTGATTGTGGCGGTGGGTGGTGGTGGCGGTGATGGTGGTGGTTTGGTGGTGGTGTGGTGGTGGTTTGTGGTGGTGGTTTGTGGTGGTGGTGGTGGTGGTGGCTTGTAATGGTGGTGGTGGTTTGGTGGTGGTGGTTTGTGGTGGTGGTGGTGGGTTGTGGTTGTGGCGGTGGTTTGTGGAGGTGGTGCTGGTGGTGGTGGTGGCGGCGGTGGTGGTGGTGGTGTGGTGGTTTGTGGTGGTGGTGGTGGTGGGTTGTGCTGCTGGTAGTGGTGGTGGTTGTGGCGGTGGTGGTGGTGGTGTGGTAAGTTGTGGGGTTGGTAGTGGTGGTGGTTTTTTCTGGTGGTGGTGGTGGTGATGGTGAGTGTGGTGGTGGTGTGGTGGTGGTGGTGGTGTGGTGGTGGTTTGTGGTGGTGGTGGTGGTGGGTTGTGGTGGTGGCGGTGGTTTGTGGACGTTTGTTGTGGTGGTGGTGGTGGCGGTGTTGGTGGTGGTGTGGTGGTTTGTGGTGGTGGTGGTGGGAGGTGCTGGTAGTGTTGGTGGTTGTGGCGGAGGTGGTAGTGGTGGTGTGGTATATAGTGGCGGTGGTGGTGGTAGTGGTGGTGGGTTTTTATGGTGGTGGTGGTGGTGAGTTGTGAGTTGTGGCGGTGGTTGTGGTGGTGGTGGTGGTGGCTGTGGTAGTGGTGGTGGATGTGTGATGCTGTTGGTGGTAGTGGTGGTGGGTTGAGGCGGTGGTGGTGGTGGTAGTGGTGGTGGTGGTAGTGGTGGTAAGTGTCGCTGCGTCCCCGCCGTCGCCGGCGCCAGCGCCGGCGCTGCTGGCCGCTGCCAGCGCCGGCGCCGGCGCGATGGGGGGGGTTGGTTGCACTCCCCCCCTCCCGGCGCCAGTGTGGGGGGTTCAAACCTTCCCCCCATCCCCCCCTGGGCTGCCTCTGGTCATCGTCGCTGCGTCCCCGCCGTGGGAGCTGCTGGCGGCCGCCAGCGCCGGCGCCGATGGGGGGGGGGTTGAACCCCCTCCATCCTCCCCCCCCCTTGGGAAGGGGGGGGAGGTTCGGGAGGGGGGGGGGGAGGAGAGTCCCCTTGGTTTTGATCGACGGCGCCGAGTGTTGGGGGGGAGGGGGGCCCACCCCCCGGCTCGAAACGCGCCGCCGAATGTTCCCCAGGCAAGCGCCCGTGAAACGCGTTCTCTCAAACTGTCGAACCAGTCTTCTGCAATCCCGACGATGTCTCCCAAGATGCCCGTGAAGCTGGTGACTGTTTCGAATTCGCCGATGTCGTACCCCCTGGAGTCCATGATGGTGTAGAAGTTTCCGAAGTAGCCTGTGGGGAGTCCGTCGGTCTCCGTGAGGTACCAGAAGGGGTCAAGGATATCAGAGGGCCTTCATGATCATCTGAGTCTCTAGGAGGCTTCTCAGGAGCAGTTCGGTTCTCTTTGGGCTTGTCATGGTTCTCTTTCTTCTGAGGCCCCCCCAATGGACGTGTAGAAAAGGTTTTTCTCGGGTCCACCAGGGGGTGCTGTCCCTAGCTCGAGGGCGCTGCCGTCTCGTCCGCGGTATAGGCTCGGCCGAGCCCGCGGCTTCAGGCGGGCTGGACACGTCCTCCAGGGCGTGGCAGCTCGCGATCACCCGGAAGCTCGGGAGGTTCCGCGAGATACTCTGCCACCAGGTCGGCGTCGTCACTGGTAGATGTTGTTCGAGATCTTAGGCAGGATCAGGTAGCCGTTCCCGCAATCGACCAGGGCGCTAGTGTGGTCAGGTCTCAGAGTGTCCATCCCGATCAGCAGCGGCACGTCGTTGTCCATGACGGATATCTCGATCCTCTCCTGTCCGTTGCCCAGAAAGATGTTGCCGACCATGGAGCCCATGAAGCTCTTGCACTGGACATCACCGAATGTGAAGAATCGCGTCGTCTCGGCCACGTCGAACTCGGCGTCGATCTTCTCCTTCATGTCGTAGGCAAGGAACTCCGCCATCGTGACCCCGATGAGGTTCCGGGTAGCCCCGCAGTCCAGGATCGCCCAGATGCCGTTCGCGTCGTCTTTGAGGAAGACAAGCTCGCCCAGCTCGAGGAGCGCGAAGGAGGTCGTTTCGTTGGGTTGTTGCATGCCACGCGTCTTGTTCATTTCGGGACAGTCTTTGGCCTGATGCCCGTAGCTGCGGCAAGCCAAGCACCTCATCCTGGGCCTGTCACGCACAGGTTGCTGGCCTCCTTCAGGTCGAGCTCCGCGCTGTGGTTCACGAGGGCGACGAGGGCGGGGCTCACGGGCTTCGGGAGGGCGTGGCGCCAAGACGGAGTAATAGTCACTTGCCACCTTCAGTCTGCGGATGAGGTCCCGCGCGACCTTGAAGTTCCGGCCAGTCTGCTTGAACTCCGCATAGATGCAGTCCTCAGGTTCGTCCTGGAGTTCAGCGTCGTCCAGCATTAGCGCGTCTTCCTCGTCCGCCAAGCTCACCAGCTGGTCCACGATGTCTGCGAGCTCCGATCGATCATCGCCGTCGTGGCCGTCGTATCCGTTCTCGTCCGCCTCGCCATAGAAACCCGCACGCCTGTCCTTCTTCTCGCGGACCCCGTCCACTTCCTTCACCGCCTCCATCGGGTATCCAGTGCAGAGCGCCTTGTACGTCTTGTCGAAATCATAGTCGCCGCCCGCCGTCGCCGTGATTTCCCCACGCGCGACAGGCGTCAGCCTTGAGCGGCGCAAGTGCCACCACGTCCTCAGCGGTCCCGCGATGACCTCCGTCACGGAGCCGTCCAGGAGGTCCCGCTCGTGTGCTTCTCAGCGCGCTGTCCAGTCGGGGAAACCCTCACCTGGCTCCCGGTGGAGCGTGTTGAAGAACTTCTCTGCAGAGTTCCCCATCTCATTCACATTGGACAGGTCGAGCTTCGAGAGGAGGAAATCGAAGACACGGTTCCAACCTGTCAGCGTCCCACTCTCCGTCACCTCGTCGATCTTGTCGATGTCGGGGCACGCCTGTGCTAGTCGCCGTGTCCTTGCCCCGAGCGCCCTCACTAGCTGGGGCCCAACCACGTGCCTGTCCTGCGTCTTACAGCTCTTGCTGAAGAGCCCGGCATCGAACCTGTACGACAGTAGTCTGTCGGGCTCGCCGTCCCAGATGGGAACTTCGAGGCGGAGGCCAGCTGCGCCTCCGGAAGATGACGTTCCAATCGTCATTGTTTGCCGTGGTCTTAACCTTGGCTCTCGCTACCAGTCTGAAATCGAGGGCTCGTCAGAGCCCTGGTGCTCGCGTCTACTCGTAGACGATGATGAAAGCACCCGATGCTCTCTGTGCAATGGCAGGCGCCCCTGGTCTGCGCCTGCCTCGCCCTGCTAACAGGGCTGTATAACGAAACCCGCCCACCCGCTGCCGAGCCTGAGAGGCTGCGGGACGGGCGCAGCACGTGCCGCAAGCCTACTCCTCACGAACGCGTACGTCCTCGCAATCAAATTCTGGGTGCCATCTTGGGGGCCTCTTGGGCCGTCATGGGGCCATCTTTGAGGCCTCGTGGGCGATATTTGGGGCCTCTTGGGCCGTCTTGGGCCGTCGGAAGGCCGACAAGGCGCAAACGCCAAAATCTTTAGAATTCTTTAGGAAAATCAATGATTTTGATCTCTTCGGGTCCTCCTGGAGGACCTCTTGGATGCCTCTTGGGCCGTCTTGGATGCCTCTTGGGAGCCTCTTGGGCCGTCTTGGGCCATCTTGAGGCCATCTTAGGCAGTGTTTGGTGCATCTTGGACCGTTTTGGAGGAACCTTGGGGCCATCTGAGCAGTCTTGGGGCCGTCTTGGGGGCCTCTTGGGCTGTCATGGTGCCATCTTGGAGGCCTCGTGGGCGATCTTGGGGCGATCTTGGGGGCCTCTTGGGCCGTCTTGAGCCGTTGTAATGCCAAAAACGAGCAACTGCCAACATCCTTCAAAAACCTTCGCAAAATCAATGATTTTGGTTTCTCCGGGTCCTCCAGCACACCACTCACGAGGATCGTGGCCCCATACGGAGCTCCACCGAAGGTCCCAGTGGCATGGTTCGCATAGCGGCCTCGGGCCATTTCGGCACACCCCTCGCAAGGATCGTGGCCCCATAGGAGCTCCACCAAAGGCCTCCAGTGGCAGGGTTCGCATGGCGGCCTCGGGCCATTTCGGCACACCCCTCACGAGGATCGTGGCCCCAATGGCCCATAGGGAGCTCCACCGGAGGCCCCCAGTGGCATGGTTCGCATTGCGGCCTCGGGCCATTTCGGCACATCCCTCACGAGGATCGTGGCCCCATAGGGAGCTCCACCGAAGGCGCCAGCGGCAGGGTTCGCATGGCGGCCTCGGGCCATTGCGGCACACCCCTCACGAGGATCGTAGCCCCATAGGGAGCTCCACCGAAGGCCCCCAGTGGCAGGGTTCGCATGGCGGCCTCGGGCCATTGCGGCACACCCCCCATGAGGATCGTGGCCCCATAGTTGTGCTGCTTCAACAACCGCGCTTGGGCGTCGTACTCCGCGTTGTCGACGTGCAACGCCACCTCCTCCCGCATGGCTTTCACAGCCCTCTCCTGCTTCTGCTCCTCGATCAGAGGGACGCCGTCCTTGTCGTCGTCGGCGCCCGCGAAGATGGCCACGAACGTGATCCTGAGCATGTCGGGCTCCGGCGGGAAGCCGTGGCCACATAGGGAGCGCGGGCGAAGATGGTATCCACAGTTGCGGTATTCACAGCTGCGTATAATTGGGTCCTTCCGAATGTTTTTGTATATGGCTGCCCCCAGCACGCCGCCTGCAGCAGCGATGCTCGCGCACGGTACCATCCATTTGTTTTTGCGTGGCCGCCCTCAGCACGCCGCCTGCAGCAGCTTCTCCTTCTTTCCCATTCCCTCTTCTCCCCCTGCCATCGTTTCCCACCTTCCCGCCTCACCTTCCCTCCTCTCCCATTACCTCTCCTTCCCTTTTACACCTCCCTCCATCTCCCAGCCTTCTATCCCTTCTTCAACCCTTCTATCCGACCTTCCCTCCGCCCTCTTCCCCCCCTTGCCTCCCTTTCTTCTGTCGCTAGCTGCAGGCAGGGTCACGATGCTCGCAGCGTCGGTGCTGTCTTTCTGCGGTGCGCATGATACCTCCCGAAGGCGCCCTTTCAGACGGCCTCAAGACCCAACGCCAGGACTTGACCATCACCGACGACACCCGTAGACGGATCAGAGGCTCCTAACAGCATTGGGCCTCCCTAGATGTGTGAAGTGGCGAATGCAGAGGGTTGCAAGAGGGTCCCGAGACGGCCCACGACAATCGCGAGATGACTGCCCGAGGATCCCAAGACAGCCCAGGGTGGCCCAAGACGGTTCAAGACGGCCCAAGAGCGTCCGGAGGTGCCCCAACAAGACTCCGAAGAGGGCCCACGGTGGCCTCAAGAAGCTGCGAGGCAGTCACCAGAGGAAGACACCACGACGGCTAGCACCTGATGGCCCAATTGCCTGCGACTGGTTTGAACCTAAGCGTGCGCGAAGAACGCGCGTGGTTCTACTGTGTATATATTTACATATATATATATATACATATACATATATACACATACATACATACGTACACTTATGCATATACACATATACATATGCGCACATATGTTTGCATATCTATAAACAGATACCTCTTCCTATACTTGTGCAGTCTGGGCGGGGGCGAACACCGCCCCCCCAAAACCTGGACTTGGGTATTTTCGGACAAGGTCCACTGGCCGCTCCAGGCCTCCAAGGGCGCATTGCCGGGCCTTGCCAGCAGACCCAGAAAGCCCCAAGACAGCACAAGAGCGCTCCAAGAGTGGCCTAGGTGGCCTTCGAGACGCCCCAATAGGCCCTCAAGAGAGCCCCCCAGAGGCATAAATTGCTCCATCCCCCAAGGGGAAACATGTATTTGTAACTGTTACCTCGCACCGTCCACGACGGCCCAAGAGCCTCCAGAAAGTGCTTCAGAATGTGCCGGGAGGGACCGCTCCCTAAAAACGGTCGCCGAGGTTCTCCCTCGAGGCCGTCAACAACGGCAACCGGCTCTACCCCCAAGAGGTCTTCAAGAGACATCCAAGACGACCCAAGAAGGCCCCAAGACAACCCAAGAGAGAGCCCCTACGTGACAACGGAATCCTTGAATTGGCATTGCTTCCTATTTTGCGGCATTGTTTGACATTGCGTTGTTTTGTTTGTCATTCATGCTCGGAGCTCCGAAATGCTTCTCGTTGGCCAGCGCACGGGGCGCAAGCGGCCACCAGGCGCTACCAGCTACTGCCATGTGTGATTATAGGGATATTCCCCACATTCCGCCCGCACGCCGAACTTGAAGGGCCAAGGTGCATGGCGCGAAGCGCCAATGCAGTCTTGTCTCGATATGTGCATCCAAAATCACACCATGTTTCCCGGCAGTTCTATATAGGTGCTTGATTGTAGGTGCGAGCTGTAGGTACGAGTGCTTGGAATGAAGCTGAATTGCACGACGTTCCGCTACGGGCGCCATTCGGTCGGATCCACGACAACCCTTTTGAGCAAGGGTGGTCTGGTTTGACCGAAGTCAAACTGAGCTCTTGCTCGCTTCGTCTCCCTTCAGGGAGCGGAGAGGAGAGGAAGGGAAAGGAGACGAGGGAGAAGTGTCCCGAGCAGTCCTGCAATATGTGCTTGTACGCTGACTTCGTTTGGATAACCCTTTACATGGCATCAGTCCCGCAGGGTTGGGAGGTGGGCATGCTAGTCTGCGCGGCACTCCAGATGCACACGCTCAACATGGGGCTGAAATTTGGCAGGACCTTCGCGGGCGGGCGCAGAGTGAAGGCTAGGCGCGAAGACACCAGTTGCATAAACGAGGTCAATACAACTGAGATGTGTTTTCAGTGTGAGGGGGAGCAGTTGGTGGCGAGCTGCGCCGAGGCGCGCTGCTGGTTGCCCCAACGACCACTTATTTCATCGTGTTCGCTCGTAGTCCCTTTCTCTATGTCCCCTGCCGTACTTCTGTTGCGTTGCTGTATTGTCGGTTGCGCGGATCGCATCTTTTTTTTGTGGTGCCCCCAGTTCCTCAGGTTTGCTCAGATTCCTCAGGTTTGCTCAAATGCCGGCGTGCCGAATGCATGCTGCCAGTTCCTCAGGTTTGCTCAAATGCGTACCGAATACATGCTGTCGTGTCCAAGCCTGCCGTCGTAACCAAGAAGATCCGCACTGCATGACAATGATGGCCGGTGCGCGGATCGCATCTGTTCAATCTGCGCGGTGCAAACAATAGCTGTGCCCAAGCGCTCTGGACAAGTGTTCTTCCAGGCGGCATTGGCTCGGATCGTCACTCGCCAAACTACTCGGCCCGCAGCGCCCCCCCTCCCCCCTCACTCCGTGGGCCCAGTACCGCCAGGAGCGTCGATGTGCTTCCCACCTACGAGGCCCTGTCGATGACTGGGCAGATCATCATCTGCGGCACCTTCTTCAGCGAATTTCAGGGCGCCACGGGGCGACGGGTGCCTTACGAATCGGCGTGGTAAGAGGCAGGCGTAAATAGGTTTGCCAGCGTGGATCCCAGACGGAGCGATTGCACTCTGGATGTGTAGGCTATGTGGTGCAAGCTGTACGGTGTAAGCTATACTGTGGAAGCTGGCTTGTGCAAAACACATTGCGCAAACTACCTGGTGCAAGCAATGAGGTGCAAGCTATGCGGTGCAAGCGACGTGATGTAAGCGAACATAAGTGGTGCAAGCTACCCAGTGCAAGCCATGGCGTGGAAGCTAAGTGGTGCAAACACATCGTGCAGTTTATGTGGTGCAAGCCAGGTGGTGCAATCCATGTGGTGTAAACTATGTAGTGCCAGCTGGGTGATGCAAGCTATGTGGTGCAAGCGATGTGATGTAAGCCACGTGATGCTAGCTGTGTGGTGCAAGCTATGGGGTGCAAGTTTAATATTTGACCGTCTTGCAGCTGTCCTCCCCACTGCTCGTGCAAACAGCCCACCCTCCCACCCACAACTTGGTCGCAAGACCTCTTAAGACAAGACCGTGACGGTACGTACCACATGACATTTGGCCACGACGCCGACGCCGACGACGACAGCGACAACGACGACGACGGCGCCGCCGACACCGACTACGACGACACCGACGACGTCTCCAACGACTTCGACGACGACAACGACGACACCGACGACGACGACGACGACGCCAACGACGCCGCCGACGACGACGATGACGACGACGGCGACTACGACGACACCGACGACGTCTCCGACGACTTCGACGACGACAACGACGCCGACGACGAAGACGACGACGACGACGTCATCAACGAAGATGACGACGAGGGAGGAGGAAGGACGACGACGGCGACAACGACGACAACGACGACAACGACGAGGGAGGAGGGAGGACGGCGACGACGCGAACCACGAAGAAGGAGGAAGGACGGCGGCGCCGACGACGACAACGACGAGGGAGGAGGGAAGACGACGACGACAACGGCGACAACGACGACGGCGACGAAATAGGAGGGACGACGACGAGACGCCGACGACGGACGACGACGACAACGAGAAGGAGGAAGGACGACCACGGCAACAACGACGACGGAAACGACCACTACGCCAAATTGGGCGACGACGACGAACACGAGGAAAGACAGAGGACGACGTAGGCGACGACGACGACGACGCGGGAGGAGGGGGGACGGCGACGACGACGACGACGACGACGACGCAAGAGCGCGCGCGCACGCTTTTGTTGAAAATCCGTGTTGCGAAACCTTGTGTTTTTGTAGGTTTCTTTGACACACGATTTTGAAATCCTTCCGAAACCGATGGGTTTTGAAGGTTTTCGGCACACGCGCGCGACGACACGCGCGTCTGCACTTCGTCAAATTGTTTGCAGAGGATTCTCGCGACGGCACACGCGCAAGGGCGTTCGACAGATTTCGACATGCGCGCGCGAAGCCCGTTTAATAGCATTTTGTGAACATCCAGAAAAACCGATGGTTTTCTTAAGATTTCGCAAGAGCTCGCGCGGAAGCTTTTTTAGCAAATCAGTGTTGCGAAACCTTGTGCTTTTGTATGTTTTTTGAAAACTCGATTGCGAAATTCTTCCAGCACCGAAGGTTTTTGAAGGATTTCGGCATGCGCGCGCGACGACGCGCGCGTGTGCACTTCGTCCCGTTTTTCCTTAACAGCGAAGACTGATAGGTTTCTAGTGGTCTCAAAAGAGAGCATCATGACTCCCCAGGAGGGTCTGGGCAGATGCCGGACGGGTGCCGCGGGAATCCGGGGACTGCCGCGGGAATCCGGGTATTTTTTTTAGCCAACAGTAACGCACTTCGTGGCCTTCGAGTTCCCAGAACTCCATTCCCCTGGGCATGATTTTGAATGCCCGGAGCCAACTGTAGGCCACTTCGTGTTCTTCGAGTTCCCAGAACTCCATTCCTGGGCATGATTTTGAATGCCCGGAGCCAACTGTAGGCCACTTCTTGGTCTTCGAGTTCCCAGAACTCCATTCCTGGGCATGAGTTTGAATGCCCGGAGCCAACTCTAGGCCACTTCGTGGTCTTCGAGTTCCCAGAACTCCATTACTGGACATGATTTTGAATGCCCCGAGCCAACTGTAGGCCACTTCGTGTTCTTCGAGTTCCTAGAACTCCATTCCCGGGCCACATTTTGAATGCTGAGGCAGGCTGATGCTGAGGCTGAGGCAGGCTGAGGCTGAGGCAGGCTGAGGCCGAGGCCGAGGCTGAAAGGCTGAGGCTGAGGCTGAGGCTGAGGCTGCAGGCTGAGGCTGAGGCTGAGGCTGAGGCAGGCTGAGGCTGAGGCTGAGGCAGGCTGATGCTGAGGCAGGCTGAGGCTGAGGCTGAGGCTGATGCAGGCTGAGGCTGAGGCAGGCTGAGGCTGAGGCCGAGGCTGAAGGCAGACTGAGGCTGAGGCTGAAGCAGGCTGAGGCTGAGGCTGAGGCAGGCTGAGGCTGAGGCTGAGGCAGGCTGGCTGAGGCAGGCTGCTGAGGCAGGCTGAGGCTGAGGCTGAGGCTGATGCAGGCTGAGGCTGAGGCAGGCTGAGGCTGAGGCCGAGGCTGAAGGCAGACTGAGGCTGAGGCTGAAGCAGGCTGAGGCTGAGGCTGAGGCAGGCTGAGGCTGAGGCTGAGGCAGGCTGATGCTGAGGCAGGCTGAGGCTGAGGCTGAGGCTGATGCAGGCTGAGGCTGAGGCAGGCTGAGGCTGAGGCCGAGGCTGAAGGCAGACTGAGGCTGAGGCTGAAGCAGGCTGAGGCTGAGGCTGAGGCAGGCTGAGGCTGAGGCTGAGGCAGGCTGATGCTGAGGCAGGCTGAGGCTGAGGCTGAGGCTGATGCAGGCTGAGGCTGAGGCAGGCTGAGGCTGAGGCCGAGGCTGAAGGCAGACTGAGGCTGAGGCTGAAGCAGGCTGAGGCTGAGGCAGAGGCAGGCTGAGGCTGAGGCTGAGGCAGGCTGATGCTGAGGCAGGCTGAGGCTGAGGCTGAGGCTGATGCAGGCTGAGGCTGAGGCTGAGGCTGAGGCTGAGGCTGAGGCTGAGGCTGCAGGCTGAGGCTGAGGCTGAGGCAGGCTGAGGCTGAGGCTGAGGCTGAGGCTGAGGCTGAGGCTGAGGCTGAGGCTGAGGCTGAGGCTGAGGCTGAGGCTGAGGCTGAGGCTGAGGAGGCTGAGGCTGAGGCTGAGGCAGGCTGAGGCTGAGGCTGAGGCTGAGGCTGAGGCTGAGGCTGAGACTGAGGCTGAGGCTGGCAGAGGCTGAGGCTGAGGCAGGCTGAGGCCGAGGCCGAGCAGACTGAGGCTGAGGCTGGAGGCTGAGGCTAGGCTGAGGCAGGCTGCTGAGGCTGAGGCTGAGGCTGATGCAGGCTGAGGCTGAGGCAGGCTGAGGCCGAGGCCGAGGCTGAAGGCAGACTGAGGCTGAGGCTGAAGCAGGCTGAGGCTGAGGCTCAGGCAGGCTGAGGCTGAGGCAGGCTGAGGCTGAGGCTGAGGCAGGCTGAGGCTGAGGCTGTGACTGCGAATGCCGTTGCCACTGCGACTGTTATCGCGAATGCGACTCCGACTGCGAGAACAGCATAATTCTACAACTGGATTCTCATCTGAATCTTAAGGGGAATGCTTCCAGATATGCTCATACACATCGCTGTTAGGTTGCTTTGCCGGGATCATTTGCATCAAGTGCTATGTTATAACAAAAAGTGTCGCCGCATAATGTTTTTTACAAGGGGCCCTTAGGGGGGGGGATACCGGCCCCCCTGGGATACTGTAAATTCATAGTTAGAATAGACATGTGATCATGATCCTATATGATTTATATGCCCGAAAGGGGGAGTGATAACGCCAAGGGGGGGGTAGATCCTATTCTGCTTTTAGAAAGGAGAATATACGATATAAGCTATGTGGTTGAAGCTAAGTGGTGCAAACAACACGGTGGTGCACCACAGCATGGCGTGATTTCTGGGGTGCAAGCTTTGTGGAGCAAGGTTCGTGGTGCAAGCCGCGTGCAAGCTATGTGGTACACGACATGTGGTGTGAGTTTTGTGGTGCTCACCAGGCGCAGGCCAAACCCCGACAGACCCAGCCAGCGCACGGGGCGCCCACGAGGCGCCCACGACCGGCGACAAACCAGACACCAGGCAACATCCCGACAGACCCATCCAGCGAACGGAGCGCCCATAAGGCGCCCACGACCGACGACCAACCGGGCACCAGGCAAACCTCGACAGGCCCATCCAATTTCATCTAAGCAAGAAGAACCTCTACGTGCAAGCACTGTCTGAGGAGAAGCCCGTCAGAAACGTGGGTTGCTGGGTGGGGTGGTGCTCAAATGGCAGAGGCCTTTCTCCGTCTGAACCTGAAATGCTGCAGCTCCAAGCGACGCTCTGGGTTTCCCTGGGCCTCAGCTGCGTTCAAGTAATTCATAGACATGATGAGCCTCAACAGGGAGCCTTGCTCCCCGCACAGTCTGCCTCTCCACGCTGTGGGCTACGCATCCAGCGCGGATAAGAGCATCGATGCTCGTCCAGCGTAGACAAGCCTCAATGGATTCGAGTCTTGCGTTTTAACGCGCTTCGGCTTCCACCACCCCGCCCGTTTTGGTTTCAACCTGACGGGCAACAGGGCGCCAGAGACCAGTGGGTCCACATTTAGGCGACCATGCATCAAAAGGCAGGGTTTCGATGTGCTTCCCAGAGAAAACTTGGCGAGCAGTGATGCACAGCCAGCTCTCCCGCTCATCCTTACTCATTGTCAGTATGTACTCCCACTTTGCCACTTAGCCGGCAAATGACGATCCCATCCAGCAGGTCCCAGCCGACTTGCAAAATGTTAATGCTAAGTCAATTCCTCAGCGTGTGTGTTCTGTGGCCGATGCTGCAGAATGCGTTGCAGGAGTGGCACGGGGCGTCTTGAAAGGAAGAAATGACGCTCTCGCCTCGGCGCCGCGCTCATTTGTCCTGACAGTTGAACTCCCACTGTGGCGCGGCGCGCATCCTTCGCACGCGATCCGTCGACGCGCAAGCAGACGAAGATGTAATTCTCGCTTGGGCACCGCGCAGATTTCGCCTGAAAATGGCGCTCCCGCCTCGGCGCGGCGCATGCATTTCACTCGCCAAGTTTGGGGGGCCCGCGAGAGTGAGCGATTTGTCGCAATCGCCCAAGCTCCGTGCACATTTAGCTTGGAAGTGGCGTTCCCGCGTGGGCGCGGCGCATGCTTCGCTCGCCGAATTGCGCGGAAGTGGTAGCGGCAGCGGGGCCGCGATCGAGAGTTGGCGAAATGTTGTCCTCGCCCAAGCGCCGCGTAGCTGTCGCGTGCAAGTGCCAGTGTTTCATCGGCGCGGCGCGTGCTTCGTCTTCGCTGTGCTCATTTGGCATTTGGGCCTCATCTTCGTCCTCCAGAGCTACATCCATGCTTTCCCATGTCGAAGAGGAGCTGATTGCATAAACATGAACTTCCAGAGGTCCGCGCGGATTTCTTGGATCGGTGCTGGATCTTCCTCCCTGCCCCTGCCGCGCGGAGCGTGCCGGGGGCCGCGCCAGAGGCGCCGCCAGGGGGCGCAGGTCTCCGACAGTTTACGCTCATCGGCCGTTTCTTTCTTCGACGATGGGGCCTCCTCCCCTCACCGTCATCATCGCCCCCCTTCTCCCCGGAGGCTTCGGCCTCTGGGACATGATATCGTTCGCAAGCGGCGTCTCGTGCGTGCTCGCGGGCGTCACGGGCCTGGTGCGCTGTGGCGAGAAGGCTGGCGTCGGCGAGGATCGGCCCGTGCCGCGCCGCGGTGCGCGCGTGCACCACGACGCCCTCCGCCTGGAGAGGGGAAGAATCAGGAGGCCGAGGGGGAGGACGGGGACGAGCAGGAGGACGAGGAAGAGGACGAGGGCGAGGACGGCGAGGAACAGGGTGAGGAGGATGAGGGGGAAAATGAGGAGGAGGAGGGCGAGGAGGAGAACGATAAGGACGAGGAAGAGGATGAGGCGGTGGAGGGCGAGGCGAGCGGAGGAGCAGGAGGAACAGGAAAAGGAGGAGAAGGGGGAGGAGGACCAGAGTAAACCCAAGAGTCAGAAACGATGTTGCAATCCATTCATTCTTTTCGCTACGAGAAGCGCCATCCGTGAAAGACCAGCACCGGGCCTGCCATTGAGGCGAGCGCCTTGTTGTTTCGAGGAGGAACTGCCTTGCCTCCTTCTGCACGAACGGGTCGATTTGGTTCTGTTCGGTTCTGCCGTTGGTTCGATGTTGCTTGGCCAGTTTCGGTTTGACGTCAGTTCGGTTCGGGTGGCCGGTCTGGCTCGGTTCGGCTTGGAAAGGAGGCACGGAGGAAGAAAGGGGAGGAGGGGGGAAAAGGGGGAGGTGAGATAATTCGGGCCGCCGTACGCGCCCCGCCACGCCGCGGAACTCAGCGGCGCTAGCGCGAATCATCGTCGTCCTCATCGTCATGCTGTTGCTGCCGTTGCGACCGCTGCCAGGGGGGTATGGGGAGTCCGAACCTGTCTGGGAAGTCTCGAGGGGTCCGAGGGGTCCGCAGGAGCCCAGACAGGTTCAGAGGGAGGGGCCAGGAGGCGGAGGGACCACTTGGGCAGGGAGGTACCACTGGGGGGGCCGCAGGGCTGAACCACAGGAGGGACCGCGGGGAGGGACTGCGGGAGGGACCACGGGGAGGGCCACGAGCATGAACCACGACGGGACGGACCACGGGAGGGACCGCGGGAGGGACGACGAGTGGGACCACGGGAAGGACCGCGGGGGCGGGGAATGGCCACGGGGAGGGGCCATGGCAAGGACTGCGGCAGGGGCCACGTCGGTAGGGCGAGGGAACTACGGAGGAGTGATCGCTGGCTGGGAGGGATCACTGGGAAAGGCCGCGGGAGGGACTGCGGGGGCGGGGGGACCGCAGCAGGCAAGGTCACGCGGGGGCCACGGGGAGGGGGGGGGGGAGGGCAGACCAGTGGGGAGGGACCACGTACGTCGAGTCGCGGCCCCTATCGTCCTGATTCGGGGTGCGGCCGTCGTTGCGTAAACCCCACCCACAGCTTACATCTCGCGTCTTTGCTCAGTGTCCCCCCTTGAAAGGGCTTGGGAGCATGTGCACTACGTAGCTGTACGTCGTTGCACAAGGTCCCGCCCATCGTGTCCTGGCCGTAGCTGCCGTGGGCGCCATGGGTTCCTGGCCTTAGTTGCTCTGGGTGAGGTTGTGGCTGTCGTTGCATTAGGACCCGCCCATCGGCCACAGAGCCCTGCTTGTGTCGCTGCATAGGGTCCCGCCCATCGGGTTTCGGCCTCCGCTGCCCTGTTGTGGGGTATGGCCGTCGCTTCACATGGTCCCGCTCAGAGGGTCCCGCCCACGTCGTTGCATTACACCACGCCCATGGGGTCTCGGCCTCAGTTGCATTGGGCGTAGGTGTGTGGCCGTCGTTGCATAAGGTCCCGTCCATAGTGTCCCAGCCTTCGTGGTTACGGTTCCTAGCCCCAGCTGCTCTTGGTGGGGAGGGGGGGGCGGTGTCGCCGCCGTTACGCAGGGAACCCGCCCGCAGGGTCCCCGCTTCACTTGCCCCCGTATTGCAGGCTCCTGGTCTGAGTCTCCCCCTCTGTGGGGGGGGCCGTCGTTGCACAGGGTCTCGAGCGCGTCTTGTCTATAGAGTCCAGGCCTCGGCTGCCAGGACTGTCGGCTGCTGCGATGGTTGCCCATGGGTTCCCGCCCATCGGATGCTGGCCTGAGCTGCCCTGCCACAGCAGGTGAACACAATGAGAGGCCTCGCTGCAGGAGGCCCGAGGGCACTTCTGACGTCCATATCTCACCGAAGGGTGCCTCCAGACCCCTGTGGGCTCCCAGAGCCTTCGGGGGATACGGCAGGTTCACGTCGTGTCGGCGCAGCAGCGACCCAAGCTCGGACGTTCGAGGTTGAACCTCGCCGGTGGCCCAGAATTGGCTGACATCGAGCGATCTGCGCGACCAGAAAAGCGCGATCGATCAATGTTGGACGATTCGCATCGGGCCAGAGACCAACGCCGACATCGTCACGACACGAGCTTGCCGTGAGAAGTTCCCGTGCGGCACTTGCTGGCAAGCTCATTTCTGATTCAGCGTGTTTATTGTAATCCTCTTGACCCTGTTGCGGTCCACGCGCCAGTACAAAACTCGTGCGGAGAAGCACGAGGCGGCATGGGAATCGGTGGCGGAGACTGCTATTTCTTGGCATTCGTGGCGCTTTTGTTTATAAGCAGGGAGCTGGGTACACGTCACGCGGCAGGCCTGGGCGAGCGCTCGGTACAAATCTGGCTAGATGTCTTTCCAGCGCTCGGCCTTCTATGACCTGGTACGCTGGGCTCCCGCACGTGTATCCAGCGCGTGGCTTCCAGATGTTCCACGTGTGCGTCCAGCCACATGTGTTTCCAGCTGCCGGGCATCCACTGCTGCACAAAAAAGAGGTGCTGCAGTGTTGCATGTAGAGCAGAGGGGCTTGACGCACGCCCAGCTGCCGCCGCAGAGCGCGGTGGCGGCCCGCAGTGATCCGGCTGGCATCGAGCAGCGTGACCACGCTGGCAGGGCTCCCCGAGCGCTCGCCCCTCGCTCCGCACGAGCGGGGAATGGCAGCAGGAGAGGGAAGGGGAGGGGAGGAGTCGAGCAGCGGCAGCAGCTGGGGAAACATACGTTACAGGGGCCAGAGGAGGAGGAGGAGGAGGAGGAGGAGGAGGAGGACGAGGACGAGGACGAGGAGGAGGAGGAGGGGAAGGAGGAGGGGAAGGGGAGGAGGAGGAGGAGGAGGAACGGAGGAGCAGGAGCAGGAGCAGGAGCAGGAGCAGCAGCATGAGAAGAGAGAGAGAGAGAGAGAGAGCAGGAACGGGAGGTGAGGAGGGAGGGACGAAGAGGTGAAAGAGGGGAACAATCATGAGAGGGAGGCGGAGGAGGAGGAGGAGGAGGAGGAGGAGGAGGAGGAGGAGGAGGAGGCGGAGGCGGAGGCGGAGGCGGAGGCGGAGGTGGAGGTGGTTCTGGTGCGGCCCCCGCCGCCAGGAGGAGTGGGCATGAGAAGTGTTGTCATGATTTGTTGCATAAGGGAGAGGAGGATCAAAGAGCGAGGAGGAAGAGAGCGAGGAGCAGTAGCAGGAGGAGCAGCGGGAGGAGCGGTAGGAGGGCGACGGGAAGAGGGAGGAGCCCTCCTCCTTCTGCCTCGTCACATCACGGGTCCGCTCCTTCGACCCTGTCTCCTTTTGGGGCGGCCGCCACTCCCGCCGCCGCGCCGCCGACGCCGTCCTCGCGCGCAGATGCAGCCGGGTGGGCTCAAGCCTTGCCCCTTTTCTTCGCCGGCGAGGACAGTCCAGGAGGGGCCAGGCGGAGCAGGGGGGAGCGAGGGGGGGCCGGGCATGGAGAGGGAGCGAGCCCTCCGACGGTTCGGTAGGGGTAGGCGACGGGGGGCGACGAGGTTGGGAGGATGATGAGGAGGGGCAGGAGTGGGAGCAGGGGGAGAGGCGGAGGAGGAGGAGGAGGAGGAGGCGGAGGAGGAGGAGGAGGAGGAGGAGGAGGAACGGAGGAGGAGGAGGAGGAGGAGGAGGAGGAGGAGGAGGAGGAACGGAGGTTGAAGAGGAGGAGGAGGAGGAGGAGGAGGAGGAGGAGGAGGAGGAGCGGATCCGTGCACTGCCTCCGCTGCCGCCTTGATTTCCCAAGGTGCCGCCTGAGGCTGCGTGAATGCGCAGCTTGGATGCTGCCCTGGCGTTCGCGAGCCGCGTGAAGCCGCCCATCATCCGAGCCAACGCTCGCAGGTCGGCAGGTCGTCTTCTTCGGGATGCCCCTGCCGCTATTCGCGGCGATCCTGGTACTCCTGGGCTCTGGTGGCCCCTCTTGGACGTCTTACAATTCTGGGACCTGGACCCTAAGTTGGTCTGCCTCATGAGCTCGGCGATCAAGGAAGGGCTGCTAATTGAGATGGCCTGCAAGAATATGGTCGTGGCGGCCAGCCAGGTCTACCAAGTTAAGGGCGTGGGTCTCAGAGCAGTCTGTGGGAGGGGCTGGAGCGTTGCACGCGATGTCTCGGGAGCCGCAAGAATGGCATTGGAGCTCCATTGACCCTGAGGTCCCGTACAGGCAGCTCAACCAGCAGGAGGTTATATGTAAGTTGCAAGAGACTTGGAGTGAATGGTGTAAGTTAGGAGAGAACCATCCGATTCTCAAGAGGCCGGTGGACTTTGGAGCTCGTCCCGGACCTTCGTTCGAGGAGATCAGGAAAGTGTTTCGGTCTTTCAAGGCGATGGGCAGGATGGGGTTCTGTGCGATCCGCCCTCGGCAGTTGCATGAGTAATATGATATTGCGGTGGAGTGCCTGAGTGACCTCGTCGTTGCGAGTGAGGGCCAGGTGGAGTCGCCGCAGCTGGTCACCAAGGTTGCGTTTTTGGCGAGGCGACTGGGCGGCGTCCGCCCTGTCGCGTCGTTGTACTTGCTGCCGAGGGCCCAGACACGACTCAGAGAATCGATTGCTAAGGACTGGGAGGTTCGAAATCACAGGCACCACTTCCAGGCGTCTCCTGGTGAACGGGCGGTGTGGCAACAAGCGGCGTGGTTCGAGTGGGCCACGCAGAAAGGCAAAGAAGCTCAAAAGGGCCTGTGGGTGTCGGCGCAGGTCCTGCTGGATCTAATGAATGCAAACGGACAGGTTCAGTATCATTGGTTGTTGGATGCGGCCGTGCGGACTGGTATTCCTTTGTGGCAGCTGCGTCATCGGGTCCTCCTCCACAGGGCCCCTAGGTGTGTCTCGCTCGGCACCGTGGTGAAGATCCGCTGCAGGTCGACCACACCATCCTGCCTGGCGACGGCTGGGCCACTACCTTTTCGAAGGGAGCTCGACCCTATCTATCGAGCCACCTTCCTCTGCTGGCGCTTGGCAGGACCCTGCAAGAGGGATGGATACTCGTGAAGACCATCGAGTACGACACCTTGCAGGCCCTGGAGGTGGTGCATTGGTCCCGGGTGCAAGGGCCTTTCGGGGCCCTCAAGTTTTCTCTGGGGCGGACTTATTGTAAGTATTGGCACTAGGTCTGATGTGCGTGGCTGCTCCGGCTGGTACACCTCGGTAAGCTAGTGAGCATGGGTATCGAGGCGTGGCAGTGGGACACGCTGGCCCGCAACGATGGCCTGGAGCATCTGTCTGAGGGGGCCGTTTCGTTCCCGCTTGTGCGTTTCCTTAACGTTTCCAGGCCGCAGACGGCCAGTTGTAACTGGGTGGCTTCGCTGTCGAGCAGCGAGCTCACCTGCCCTGCGTGGTGTTTGACTCGACGGGCATTGGACGATGACGAAGAAGCGCGAAGCTGGTTTCGTGCTGAGTCAAGCTGTCTGTTCTGTTTTGTCTTGGGCGTGGGCCCCTGGTCCATAGGCACTGCGAGTGCCAAGAGTGGGGCGACAGACTCCCCATACCCAAATGATGTAGGATGTTGCTGGACAGGCTCCCGCACCCGCAAATGCAGTGCCTTTGGAGAGGGCGCTGGGGGCAGCTCATGCAAAGCTTACGAGCTTCAAGATATCTGAGGATGACTGCACCACGTGGCAGAAGCACGTGGGTGAGGGTATCATCGAGGCCAGGGAAATTGTCCTGGGTGGATTGCTGTATGAAGGGAATTGGGGTCGGGTGGGCTCGGGGAGGATCGTTACGCTGCATTCCGAGGACCGCTGGGTGAACGTGGTGTCGTCCACGGGATCATGCTTTTCGTGTGTCGTGATACTGACGCGGCGGATTGCATGCCTTGATCGCGTTGCTAGGAGCCTGTGCCCCGCCAGCGGTGGCAGTGACGGACTCCAAGTTCGCCCGCGATGGCGTCGATGAGCGGTGTCTTGTGGCGACCACCGTTCATTGCTCGGCCTGGACTGGTCTGGGGCGCGATTTTTGGGCGGCCCTCCAACACTTCGGGGGTTTCGGCCCGCAAGGGCTCCCGGAGTCTGACGTCGACCGCGGGCCCATTTTTCGGAGGGGCGGTTTTGGGAACTATTGCGCGGACGTCTTGGCAACGC